CTGGGCCAGGTTAGCAGACAGAGCGACAGACAGAGCGGGGACCTGGTTGCTGTGTGGCTGGTCTGGAGTGGCTCACCCATATGGTGCTCCGCTCTGTTCCTGCTCCCTGTCTAAATCCATATGCTGCTGGTGGAAAAAGTGCCCCCCCTCCCACCTTGCTTCAAGAGCATGCACCCTCCCCACCCCCAACCCACAAGGGAGGTGTTGGGAGGTAAAGCCCTGAAGGCTTGTACCCCCCCTCTCCTACCTCTTAACCCCTCAGAGCTGCTTAGCCCATTGTCACTACAATCTGCCACCATCGCCTTGGTGTTGCGTGTCCCCTCGCTCTCTTTCTCTCTCTCCCTTTTTCTTTCTTTCTTTCTTTCTCTCCCTCTTTCTCTCCTACTTTCTTTCTTTCTCTCTTTCTTTCTTTCTTTCCCTTCATCTCCCTTGGCCATCTGATAATCGATGAACTTATTAACTGCTAATTATTCAAGCTGTGGATCGAGGATCCTTCCCCATCCTCGGGAAAAAAAGGGAACCTTCCCACTCTGTTCTGCCAAATGAAGTGGGTTATATTGCCCATTCATTTGGATTAAGTGCATTTAGGCTGCAGTGTTTGGGATGTCAAGACTTTGTCAGATTGCTATCTGCGGCATTTAACATTAATCCTTATTTTGTTCAGCCAATTGATAGCATCCACTTAGTGGAGGCCCAAGAGAATTTCACATTGAAATAGGCAGTTATTATTTGTTTTCCCTGTGATGTGTGTTTCTCTAAAAAGGTGTGTGTGTGTGTGTGTCTCTGTTCCGGTTTCTCAGGAGGTCCTTCAGACGATACCAAAGTTCTGCTTTCCCTTTGACGTGGAAAGGTACGATTCCTCTCCCTTTCAGCTCCCCCGTTGTTTTAGCGCTGCAGCGCACTTTCACCTCCTTCACACAACGCACACACACACACATATGTACACCTAGCTTTCCTCTCACTACAGAAACACATATGCATTTGAAAACAGGAAATGAGATGATGTGTGTTTTGTGCATCACACCACTGCGTTACAGTGAGATTTCCATCATTCCTATAGGTACAGTCACATGATGATTTACTCACCTTTTACTAAGTGTAATGATTTTGTCAGCGTGATTGCATGTAGCCTCTCCGGTCTCTGCATACAATCTGCATTGACTGTACCTGCAGACAAAACAGCTGTTGGCAAAATGTCCCCAAATGTAAATGGTGTCATGAGGACACACTATATTAATGATAATGATGACAACAACAAGTTCCATTAACGATGATGCCTATGAGGTCATCAGTGAGCTGCCCACTTGATGTTTTGTGAACAGTAGCGTGTTTATAAGCACGTGTGAGTGAGAAAGAGTCCTGAGACCTCTAAGGAGGTGTGTTTTCTTCTACCTTGCATAGGTCTGATCGGACCAGCAGCTTTTTTGAAAAAGTAGCGTCCTCTATATTTTGAGGCTGGAAAATGACATGTTAAAATTCACATCGTAAAGACAGAGTGGAAGGGGGGGGGGATGTACGTACAGTATTTTACTGAAGCTGAGCTGCTGCCATCTAGTGGAGTAGGGGTGTACAGAGCTTCTCTGCAATTTCAAAAAGCTTTTCACGTTTCTCAAGCCATAATGGAAATATGTGACATCAGATCTGGACATGGACTGGAGATTTATCTCACGGTGAGATTTTGTCTGAGAATTAGTTCCTCATCCAGCTGGAGCAAATTGTGTTTTTCTCTTTTGTATTTTAAATGTATATGATTTCATAGATTTACTGCACCCTATGGTATTCAGTTGATTGTTAAGTCGTTTTGTGGTTTTGGACATTTGTGAGTGTGTGTGTGTGTGTGTGTGTGTGTTTCCCCTTTGTCCGGCCTCAGGGTTTCCCAGAATCAGTTGGGGCAGAATTTCACCTTTGTGCTGACGGACATCGACAGCAAACAGAGGTTTGGCTTCTGTCGACTCACTCAAGGCTGCCGGGTCTGCATATGTCTGCTCAGGTAACACATACGCATGCACACAGACACACGCAAATATTCACACTAAATCTTGTTATGCTTTTAATACTCCAAGGTACACATACTTCTTTTGTATTTGTTCAAAACCATGTTGTTCTAATGAAATTAATCTTACTGCACTCTGTATCAAACACTTTGTAAATTTTAATAGAATCCAACTCCCATAAATTAAACAAATGTCAAAAGAGCGACAACCGGATGTAGTATAAGTTATGCTGCACATCACAAATCCAAACATATAAAAGTCCGCCTTTCACATTTTACTCTATGAATCAGAATCAAGAAAATGTGTGAAAATGACTTTTTCAAACACCATTGCTTTTATTTATTCGTTCAAATAACCAAGACATGGTCTTTTTTTGCCCCTTTTGGATCTGTCTCGGAACAGTTTTTTTTAATATCTGCATTTATTTCTCAAGTCTGATGAAAAAAAAAATTAATTTACCAGATCTTAGAAGTGAGCACAGATTTTATTTAGAAAGTATTTCCATTCATTCTCACTCTTCACACTGAGCTGCACTATGCCAGAATAACAAATTTATATTCTCATCTGCCCACTCAAATATGTTAGTGATGTGGCTATAATTATCCAAAAGTTTAGCAGTTTTTGATATTTCATAGGTGGATTCATCTTATCACAGCGTACATAATTTAGGCTACCAAACCCAGGAAAATAGCATTTTCTTTGCATAATTACTCTCCAAGAAAGGCTATTATCATTTAATTCCCATGTAATTGCATGTTGACGCTATGTTTTTACAGATGTAATTACCTTACCATTACAAAGAAGGAGCGCTCCAGTGTTAATCTCAGTGGACAGGCTCATGTGCTTTAGAATAAACTGAGGAAAATATACAAATAAATCAATTTTTAATGAATGTATTAAGCAGTTTAACAAACAACAAACTGGAAAAAGAGCACAAAGCCTTTTCTTTTTCTCTGTTGGTGTAAAACAGCACTCCTGTTTGTGTGTGTGTGTGTGTGTGTGTGTGTGTGTGTGTGTGTGTGTGTGT